CCAGGCTGCTTCCAGGCTGTCTCTGGGCTCCCACTAACGAGTGGGTAGCCCCTTCCTCACCAGCTAGCCAGTCATGGGGGAAAACAGTGTAGGCGAGGACTGAAAAGACTCACGGTCCACCAAACAGGCAAAGACTTCATACTGCATGTTTAAAAGAAGAAAATACTGACCGGGCGCGGTGGCTCACGCATGTAATCCCAGCGCTTTGGGAGGCCGAGGCGGGCGGATCACCTGAGGTGAGGAGTTCGAGACCAGCCTGCCTAGCATGAGGAAATCACGTCTCTAGTAAAAATACAAAATTAGCCGGGCGTGGAGGTGGGCGCCTGTAATCCCAGCTACTCGGTAGGCTGAGGCAGGAGAATTGCTTGAACCCGGGAGGCGGAGGTTACAGTGAGCTGAGATCCTTCCACTGCACTCCAGCCTAGGGAACAGAGGGAAACTCCGACTCAATTAAAAAAAAAAAAAAATACAGTCAGAACTACAGCCCCTTGGTAAACGTAAATAAACTTGGTGAGGCTGAGGCAGGAGAATTGCATGAACCCAGGAGGCGGAGGCTGCAGTGAGCCAAGATCGTGCCACTGCACTCCAGCGTGGGTGATAGAGCAGACTCTATGTTAAAACAAACAAGCAAACCTGGCTTCAGAGCTAGACCAATTGGTGGGACAGATTCGGGTGGTTGAGAGTGAGTGAGGTCTTGAAGACAGGACAAAAATCTCTGATCCAAATAACCCTTAAAATTCCACTCATTAGGAAGGGGACTGGTGAATATGCAGCACCATCTCCCAGCAGCTCAACAGAGGCAACCTTCCCTTCAATCCTGGACAGATATGCCATTCATGTGAATGTAGGGACTGTATGAAAATGAAAAATACTCACATCTCAGCATGCAACATGTTCATCCCAAGGTCCTTGCCAAGAGACAAGGAAAAACACTCACTGAGAACTTCATTCCCAGTCACATTCTGCTCCAGGTCATAAACTTGTGACATGAAAGACAAAATGAATAGCCCTCACTCCCTCACTAGATATTTATTTTTATTTATTTATTTTGAGACAGTCTCCCTCTGTGGCATAGGCTGGAGTTCAGTGGCGCAATCTCAGCTCACTGCAACCTCCGCCTCCCGAGTTCAAGCAATTCTCCTGCCTCAGCCTCCCAAGTAGCTGGGATTACAGGTACCCGCCACCACTCCTGGCTGATTTTTTGTAACTTCAGTAGAGATGGGGTTTTGCCACGTTGTCCAGGCTGGTCTCAAATTCCTGAACTTGGCCTCTCAAAGTGCTGGGATTACAGGTATGAGCCACCACACCCGGTCGAGCCACCACTATTTAAATACCTGTTCCTCTGCCTCCCTGGCTCGGTAGGTAGGCGTTTTTGAGGATAGAGTGTGGTTGAATTTTCCTACGTAACATACATGAGTTCTGCAGTTGCCCTCTGTTAGGGTTTCAAGAAGGCTAGTAATCTATCAGGGCTTACCCGTTTTCACAATATACTTAAGCCTGTGATTTCTGGTGATGTTTTAAAATAAATGACTATAGTTTGAGGGTTAAGGTTTGGAGCAGACCAGGCATAGTGACTGGCCCACACCTGTAATCTGAACACTTTGGGAGGCCGAGTTAGGAGGATCGCTTGAGGCCAGGACTTTGAGACCAGCCTGGACAACATAGTGAGACCTGTCTCTACAAAACAGAATTTTTAAAAACTTAGCCAGGTGTGATGGCATGCACCCGTAGTCACAGCTACTCAGGAGGCTGAGACAGGAGAATCACTTGAGCCAAGGAGGTTGAGGCTGCAGTGAGCTATGATCGTGCCACTGCACTCCAGCTCGGGTGACAGAGGGAGACCCTGTCTCCAAGGAAAACCAAAAAGATTTGGAGTGAACTTGAGTTTCTCTGTAAATGTGTCAGAGATACGGAAAGCAAGCGTGGAAAAAGTGATCGAAGATGGCTGTGTAAGGTGAAGGATAAATGGAGAAAGCGGGAAGCGAGTGAAGGATGGGGGCATGGAGGGGTACCCATCGGGTCAGGGGTTTCCAGGAGGAAGAGCCGCAGACTGGAAGCTCAGGAGCTAGTGGGGCGTGTTTCAGGCAGAGGGTCCGTGTGAAGGGGGAGAAGCAAGAAAAACAGGACGTGGAGGCTGGAGAAGGAAGGCGGGGCCGGGGTCTTGTAGGCAGCCTTAGGGTCTGTAGGAGTTTGGATTTGAAAGCAGTGAGGAGCGATTGAAGGGTTTGGGTGGGTTGGCTTTTAGAGAGAAGCTTGGGATTTGGAGAATATGCTGAAGGGAATTAAATCGGGGTGAGGGGTTCCACCTTTCTGGGAAAGATTCTCCATTTTGTGTGTGTGTGTGTGTGTACATATATATATGTATATGTACATATGTATACGTACATATGTAGCATATGTATGTATGTGTACACATATATACATATATATTTGTAGAGATAGAGTCTTACTCTGTCACCCAGGCTGGAGTGCAGTGGCGCAATCTCAGCTCACTGCAGCCTAATCTTCTAGCTCAAGCAGTTCTCCCACCTCAGCCTTTCAAGTAGCTGGGACTACACCATGCCCAGTGAATTTTTTTTTATTCCTTTTTTTGTTTGTTTTTGAGACAG